CTTTGGTTGCCGGCCCCGGGCGGCATCCGCCCCGGGGGCCAGCCGGGCCAGCAGCAGTCTGCTCTGGCTTTTTACTAATTTGAAGTGTATTGGATGCAAAAAGGTTTAAAAAGAAAAAAATGAGCTTTGTCCCCTTCTATGACGAGGTTTTGGGGAGGAGGAAGCCTTTTCCCTCTTGCTCATCCTCCAGGCAGGCCCTTCTGGGGAAAAAGCCCAATGTTGAGTTATTTGTCTTTTTTTTTTTCCTGTTGAAAGCTGATGTCCCCAGGCTGTGTTGGCTTTGGTGGCCCTGGCTGGCCTTGGATCGGTGGTGTGGGCGATGGGATGGGACCTCAGGTGCCCCTGGAGCCCGGCTGGGCAGCGGGTACCAGCGCGCCCCCCGCTCGCTGCCTGCGGGGTCTCTGCCCGCTTGCCCTTAGAAGTCCCCCAAAGTGACCATCACCCCTCCTGGGGACCCGGCTCCTGCCGGGCTCGGGCGCAGTCGCTGCCCGGCCCCGCTCGCCCCAGCTCCGGGCTGGGGGATGTGGGCACCCAAGGGATGCCGAGGCCGGGGTGCTGCCAAGGGATGGGGGCAGCGACATGAGAGCCGAGAGTGGCATTTTTCTTTTCTTTTTTGAATTATTGTTTTTACTGTGACTAAGTGGCCTGCTTTAATGATATTTACAGCTTGTTCTTTTAACAAGTTCGGGACTATGAATAAGTGCAAGGTGCACAGAGAGTTACTTTTGAAGGCTACTGTGGCTGTGCTCTTCTTTTCTTTCCCGCTTTGGTTCCTGAATCCAGACGGCGCTTTGCTCAGGGTTTTCTTCGTTCTTTGTATTTCCATTGGGAAAAGGGGAGGGGGGAAGAGGATAACCCAACTTTTGGCCATTTCTTTTGTTTTCTTCGATACTTGAAGCAGTTTTTTGCATCCTAATAACAAAGCTGTCCGGCGCTTAGCCTGTTCCACTGCTCCTTGCCCTGAGAAAAAGAAAAAAAAATAATCGGTGGTGGGGTTGTTTCTGCCTCACGTCTTGCACAGCGCTCGGGTTTTGGCACGGCTTGGCTTGGGGGGCCTGCGAT